AGGATTTCCCGGAATTAAAGAGCCACAGTTAATGGCTTCGGAACCAGCCATTTCTTTGCAGGAAGTCATGAGAACATCCAGAACTGACAGCTCAGGGGCTAGGAATCTTATGTATTTTGAAGCAGGTGCATGATGATGGACGTGAGCAAATGAACTTATTGGAAAGGCAACTACAAAGCTGGCCACTTGGGATGGGACCCGGTCCGTCTTACACCTTTTCATGCGGAGAGGCAACGAGCACTTGAACGCCCCAGTAGTCCCATTGACTTTATGGAGAATATGTTCTAGAGTAGCAGTGGCAATTTGGCATTCCAGAGGTTTTGGACTCCAGAATCCCCTGAGCCTGTACTGTTTACAGATAATTGTGGAAGCTGGAGTCTAAAACATCCAGAGTACCAACGCTCCACCACCCCGGGTAAATCCAGGCTCCTTTACCATGCGATCCACTGTGTGTACCTACGAAAACCTTGTGGTCTAAATCGAATGTGACACTGCCAGCAGAGTCAGGGTTTAGCCCCCATCCCCACAGCTCTGTGGGGCTGTTTCCCAGCCTCCTCCAGCAAATTTTCAGAGTGGCTGCAAGGCTACAAGTGGGGACAGAAGACTGTGCCCCCTCCCACTCTTACTAGGATCTATAGTTGCATGAGGGGATGCCTAGGGCTGAATATAGCCCCTACTGTCTACATACATCTCTTTTAGCCGTTTTAAAAAGAGAAAACCATCCAGCTTTTTTGCTTAATTGCCAACCAGGATTTGCTCCAGTCATAGGTGACCACTGACAAGCCTGGGATAAATCACACTATTTTCTCTTTGTTTTTATCTCAGGTCTTTTGACATAATTTAGAGAATGTAAACTCCATTAAAATGAACCAGGTGTGTCGGGGGGGGGGGCGTAATTCTTGCCACATTCAGTACAACTTTGCCAATGGTAAGAAGTCGATTTTCCAAGAACAATAATCAAATTTACAGAGACAGGCTCTTTGCCCCAAGGGGCAGGGCTACACTGAATTGTTAATCTTAACCACAGCAGATTCAATGCATCAAGGGGACTTACCTACATGTTGATTTAATAAGTCCCATTAATTCAACTGGCCCACCCTGACTGGACTAAGAATTGGATTTAGCTCCATAACTGTATCAGCCAACAGAAAACACATGAAGATAATGTCTGAAAATGTAGGTAAATGCACTTACAGCTTTATTTCTGTTGGGAATGAGAACCTGAGGTCAAGTTTCAAAAGCCTGATAAATAAAAAGACTTGAGAACAAAGCACTAAACCCAACAGAAAAGAAATCTTCCTGCTGAACCAACCCTCTAAGGCAAATCTTTCTTCTAGTAACATCCACCATTCAAGATGTCTTCATGGAACATATAAATAATAGCATAATTTCACATGTTTGTCAGTCTGCAAGCTTTGCTCTCGGAACAGACTTGGTGGCACAAAGCTTTTTATGATCAAACCATAAGGCAGCTGCTCAATCTCACATCTAAATCCAGAGCAAAGTACAGAAACATTGTCTAAATGCCACAGAAGTTTGTGGTGGTGGCTTTTAAAAACATTTTTTCTAATTGAGCCTAATGAAATGTCCTTCATAGGCTGCCTATACTTCTGCCACTGCAAACAGCACTCTAGCAAGAGAGGATTTAAAATTATTCCTTCGGCGTTCTTCCCAAACGCTGCAGACATTCTGCTCAACATTTGAAGCACGGTGACTAAGAAGGACATATACAAAGAGACTCTACCAGGGAGCTATTTTGAGGTTACAGATTTAAAGCATGAAATCCCTTGGAAAGCTTTATAAAACGAACTCTCCCCCCCACACACACACTTTTATTTATTTTTTTTTTAAAGTTCGGCCACCCCCATGTGGAAGTTCATCTGTGGAAATCTGCCCAGAAACAAGAAGCGGAAAGATATGCTAGAGCGGCTCAGAAGGTCTTATCTGCCTGCAGCAGGACAAGCAGAAAAGTCAGGCAAGAAAATTTTTAGCCTCCTCTACCTTCCTAGTGTGGGTTCCCTCAACCCCAGAGGTTGAAAGAAAAGCCTGCCTTTGCCAGGGCAAGCTACCATTTCCGAGGGAGCCCTGATGAGTCACCCATGTTCAGTCCCGCACAGGTGTTCGCCCTCCTGCCACAGAAAATTGTAAGGTTCTACTAGTGGCAAGGTTTAGTAAGGTTTTCCTTCCTCTTCCAGAATATTGGGGAAGAAGTGAGAGGGAACCAATAACTCCTAAACTGGCAGAGGAACCTCAGGTAACAACTGGAGTGCACCACAATGTGTGCGTGAATGAGGGAGGGAGAAGATGATGTTCATGGAGGATGACCTTGAGCCTTAGTTTCAGCAGGCCTGTGCAAAGTGGAGAGGCATAGGCTCAGCATTTGCACCAGGTTAGAAATCCCACAGCCAAAGCAGGTGCAAAGCATGGTGCTTCAGAACCCATAACAGGGAAGGGAATCTTCCACCCCTTCCCTGCAAACGACCTGGACCAAAAAAAAAAAACACCCTTTTTTTTTAAGCAGGCAAAGATGGCATGACACTTACGGCTAATGCAAAGAGTTCAAAGACTGGGCTGGACAGAACACCCTTGTTTCTATAAATGAATCACACAGCCATTTTCGGTGCTAGGGTTCCTGAACCGTTTCTTCTCAGAGTTCAATCACCTGAAAAGATCATGGCTTACATGCCCGAACGTAACTGCCTCCCCAGCATATGAGGGGCCACAGGGCCTCTGGCAGCCTGCCAGCCCGCCCCCTGGGAGAGCATGAAGACCAACCGACACAAGACATCTCTTTCCCTTTCCAACCCCCAACCCACACATCAACTGCCACCTTGCAACTTCAGCAGCCCTGGGCCAAGAACAACACACAGAGACCTTTCTACATTCACAGGCCGTTAAGATGTTGTGTGCTGCCTTCAGGCTCAGAGTGTCCCAGAGGTTACCTCCGTGGGAAGCGCATTGCTGGTTCCAATGGAGCTACAGCATGATCCGGTGCGAGGGGGGCACCTGATGTTCTGAGCATCATCTCTTGCCCCCAAATCCTCCATAATTTTCACATGACCTGTTCCTTCTGTGCTCAAACCTCTTCCCTCTAAGTCGCCCTGTAACCTCTCTAATACACAGAAATATACAGCATTTTTCATTTAGGTAATTCCGCCAGGCCAAAATATTACGCACAATCTTGAATAACAGAACTTTCCTTCATCTATGCATTAACAGAGGCTATACAGACCCCCGGCACCCCAACTCTACACACACACACACAATACAGAGGAATCTTATGCAGGAACAGTGATGCAGAGTTGTTTCTCCCTCAAACATCCATAAAGAGACAGACACTGCATGGAAGGCGGGAAAACCAAAAGGGGGTGGCTCTCCTAGACTAGTCACTTGGCCTGCCACACAACTCCTGGCTGGCACTGTTCTCCATCTCTCTCTGTAAAGGAAGTTGAAACCATCGCCAATGCAGTGCAAAAGGGAAACTGCAAGAAAGGTCTCCCTCAGCTTCTTTTTAGGGAATCCCCTATAAATTACCCCTCTCTGCTCATGGAGAGTGGCAGAAACAGACAATTTTCCAATCAATAAACTTCTGGGTAGCTCAGGGTTTAGGCCTTTGGCTGTGGAGCCAGAGGTTGGGAGTTCGATTCATACTTGTGTCTCCTTCACAGGGGCTGGACTCAATGATCCATAAGCTGCCTAGAGTGGTCACAAGACCAGATAGGTGGGATATAAATAGAATAAATAAATAAGGTCCCTTCCAGTGATGCCATTCTAAGATTATTATTATTATAGATATTCTTTCACTTTCCCCAAATTCTCCCCTCTCCCTGTGATCAGCCAGACCTCTCTGTTCTACGGACCAGGATCCACTGTCCTATCTTGCAGAGAGAAAGAAAAGAGAGAGAATGGTTATACTTTGCCAAGTGTACTTTCTCAACCTTGGGGCTCTCAATGTTCACAGACTACGACTCTCAGAAGCCCTGACCATCAGCCACGTCAGCTAGGGCTTCCTGCAGTTGTGGTCTGGCCGCCCAGTCTGGGAACCACAGGCGCGCTAGAGGGCTAGGTGGGCAAATGGCTGACCAGCCCTGACCCGTTAGAAAAGATTGAAGGAGAGGATGATGGGCCACTGATGGACACTCTCCATCTCTCCTGGCCATCTCCCTATGAAAAGAAAATGCATATCAAAACCTCATAAGGCTTGTGCTGTCTTGCTTCAGGCGTGGGGGGGGGGAGAAGGAAATACCCCTTTAATGCTGACTTAATGCAGTTTTGTCCATTTCATTATTGTATCACTTCACTGTTTCCCCCTCCCCCGCTAGGTCTGGCTGGATTTTATTATATTGTTTTATTTACTTGTTTCATTTTTATACCACCCACCAGGCCAAAGGCCGCTCTGTGGGCCATTTGCAACAGCCTGGAAGAATGATTTGCCCTAATGGGCCAGCACAACAAAAGGAAACGTTAAATGAATTGATTATCGAGGAGGTGCTCTTCATGGTAAAGCCCGCTCCAACGCCATCCCCTTAAAAAAATTACCATACCCAGAGCTTGGACTCCCTTTCTTTTTTCTTTCTTTTTTCTTTCTTTTTTGGAGGGGGACTACCATTCCCATTATACCCCGCCAGTCAGGCCCCTCACTTCCTTTATTACACCAAGCAGGCTCTTCGTCATCCCGACCCCTCCAAAAAAGACATTTTCCAACCCAGCCTTTCCATCCTAGATTGGGCGAAGTTTCTTTTTCTTTTTTTGATAAGAGGTGGATAATGGGAGTTGGAGTCCAAGAGAAGAAGGGAGGATGATTCCTAGATGCAGAAACCTTTTGAAGAGAGAGGTTTCCAATTCACCCCTCCCCTTCAATGCGGGTCCCCTCACGTGCTTGTGGGGGAGAAATTATGTGGTGGGGAAGATATGTTTGGGGGTAGTTATGTAGGGGGGGGCCTTCCTCCTCCCACGTGACCGCTCTTCCCCCCCCTCTACCCTGTTCCTTTCTTCCTCACCCGATCTCGTCGGCGCCCCCGACGCTATTCATGGCGGCAGTTGGTGGCGGTGAGGGGTGGGGGTGAGGGGGCCAACCGGGCCCGGGCCCTCGGGTGGTGGTGGGGTTTTCTCCTCCTTGTCCTCAGGCGGCGTCGGCGTGAGAGGACGGCCGAGGGAGAAAGGGGCCGCTTCCCTCAAGGGCGGGGAGGCCGGTCCCGGCAGCCCTTCTTCCTCCGCTTCCTTCCTTCTCCTCTCCCTCCTTCGACCCACCGGCCGCCTCTTGCTCTTTTTTTTTTTACCTCACGCACGAGAGGGCCCCGGCGGCGGCGGCGGCCACAGGCAAGGAGGACTGACCTCCCCCCTGCTGCGCATGCGCCGGCGCACGCGCGGCCTCTGCGCCTCGCCAACCGCCGCTTCTGGGGCGCCCCCCCCTCCGATCACTGCGCCTGCGCAACTGCCGCTGCTCCTGAAAGGGTGGCTTCCGAATCGCTTTCTCTCACACACACTGTCGGGGAGTTCGCCCCGCCCACACGCACGCAACTTCGCGACGCCTAAGAGGTCATGGGCTGGGATGGAACGAGAGGCAAGCTCCGCCCCCACTTCTTCCGCGCGGTAGACCTAAGAGATCATTGGCTCGGGTGGAATGATAGACAAGACCGGCCTCCGCTGATGCGACGGGGGGTTTGGAGACGATGGAAGGGATGGTGACGGCACTGGTGGGTGGGACGCGCATGCGCCTCTCTAGTCGCACATGGGGAAAGGCTCGCCGAGGGAAAGGTGCGCGCGCAGGCCTTTTTCCGCTCCAAGCGCGAGAGAGGCATGACGGGAAATGTAGTTTCTCCGCCCCCTTCTCTTTCTGAAGACTTTTTCCCAAACAGGGAACGCCGGGAAATGTATTCCTTTAGCCTGGGGGCGGGGGGGTAAAAATACTTCTGAAATCATGAGCAAGTATTAACAAGCCACCGACTTATTGCGTCTCAAGCCAACCTCCTCTTCCTCCTTTTCCTTTGAGACTCCCCCCTCCACTTCCTGGGGTGTGTGTGTCTTGGACTACAAAACCCATCCTCCCCTCCAAAAATCACCAGGGTAAGGAGATTATGGGCTTTGTTGGCCTACCTTGGGCCCATCTTGAGAGCAGCAAGGCTCACCCCTGCAAAAAATGCCATCCTGCTGAGGGAAAGGGAAAGGCAGCTGGGAAAGAGGAAGCCCTCAAGCTGAGATGGAGCCATCCAAGAAAGGAAACCACAAGATCTGATTTTGCAAGATCCGCAACAGGGACGCTACAAGCCAGGCTTTTAGGAGGCTGTTCCTTCGTAGGGTTCTCGTCACCCGGAAGCCACTTGCCCTTCTTCCCTGTCTCCTGTGCTGAAGGGGGCTGAATTGGGTCCCTGTCGTCATTGAGGCTTTGGGAACAAAATCCAGAAACGTCACACCGATACTTAGGCTTTTGGTTAAAATCTAGGTATCTGTTGTGTCATACTAGTCAAGGTTTTTGTAGGTTTGATTTGACTGTGCCTGGTGTTTTTGAACAATCATAATCATAATACCAGTCAATGTTTTTATTATTTTATTATTAGGCTAAAACTTGTACAGTATCTGTTCTATCATGCCAGTCAAGATTTTCATAATTTTGACTGTGCCTGGTGTTTTTATATCATCATCGTATTTACCGTACTGTACTTTGCATTAAGAACGCCGAAAGGCCAAGAGGGAAGAAGGCAAAGGGGATTCTCCCTGACAAGACATTTTTATATCATCATCGTATTTACCGTACTTTGCATTACAACGACACTTAAAGAATGCCGAAAGGCCAAGAGGGAAGAAGGCAACGGGGATTCTCCCTGACAAGACGTTTTTGCACCTTGTGTGCAATTGTGACCGTTTTTGACTTGTGTGCATCTCTACGTTGATGACAAGCCGGTGTGGGATGATAGATGGCGCCTCCTGTTGTGGTGGCCTTCCTCCGGCAGAGGTCATCCCATCCCTGCTCACTGGGAGACGGGGCGGTGCGAGGGCCTGGCCTTCCCCCTTGGCCCTGTGGAGAGACCTCCCCACCCACTTTGCACGCTCGCTAGCTCGCTTTTGCACACCCAGCTGTTCCCACCCTGGTGTCTATTTAAAGAGCCCTCCGAGTCCATTCAACTCCTTTGCAGGTTTGTCTGGCTCTGCCCCATTGCTTTGCATTTCTCTCTTTCACCAAGATATTTTCTTTTTCCTTTCCCCCCCTCTTTCCTCTCAAACTCCAGCAGAACAAGATGACCACCTCGGCGGACGCCACTCACCCCATTTTTTCGGAAGGGGAAAATTGCAAGCCGGGCTGGAAGGCAGCCAGCGCTGGCTACGACGCCTCCGACACCCACCTGCACATCTTGGGGAAGCCGGTGATGGAGCGTTGGGAGACCCCTTACATGCACTCCCTGGCCACCGTGGCCGCCTCCAAAGGTATGAGACGTCCGCCAACCCCACCGCTCGGGTTTTGCCCTGGCCTACCTTTTAGGAGTAGTGTTACGGTCTGGGAAGCGCTACTCGCTAGCCGCCAGACTCAGAGCTCAGCGCCTTCTCAAGAGCCACTGGGACTTCACCCCGAAACGTTTTGAATGGCACCACCCTAAGTGCAACTGCTTAGACCTTAATTCCCATCATCCTCATCATCTTAGAACTAATCATAATATTAGAGTTGGACCCCTCTGGATTGTCCAGTCCAGCCCCTGTCAAGGAGGTCCAGAGGGGGATTTGAACTCCCAACCTCGGGCTCTGCAGCCAGAGCCGTCCAGCCATCCCCGTACAGGATGGCAACCTCAATCCGGACGTGGAGAGTAAGTAAATCAAGCCAATGCCTGGCCTGCAGCGCAGAACAGTTCAAATCAGGGGGATTTCAATGGCGTCCTGCTTGCAAAGCCCCATTCATTTGGGGGGGGGGGCATCACGCTGGCAGAGAAGTCCGGCGAAAAAGAATAGAGAGTTTTAAAGGTCCCTTGAATTCAGATGTCTTGGTGGAGTGTTTCTGAACTCCTGAGCCCGTTTCCACGCTGGGGAAAAAAAAATAAAGGTAAGAGGCCGGCTTCCTGGAAAGAAGCTGAAAGACCTATTTTGGCACCAGGTCACTCGGCTTACATTCCAGAGGGGTTAAGAATAGCCGCTCCTCGGATCCTCGGCCTTTGGAAGCGCTCAAGGTTTTGCCCCGGCTCTGATCCGACCACTACAGGCCAAGCCTGAAGCTCTGAACGGGAGGCTGGCCGTCGTTTTCGTTCTTGAGAATTGACCCTGTTCAACAGCCTGTGGGGTGACTGTTTTACATTGGCTCTCACATGTGGCAATCCGATGAGCGAGCGCTCTCCGAAATGTCCCATTCTCAAGAGCCCTGCTCAGCTCTTGCAAACCAGCCGTGGTGGCGTCTTTGATGGAGTTGATCCATCTCACAAAGGGGTCTTCCTCTTTTCCTATGGCCCCCTGCCTTTCCCAGCCTGATGGTCTTTGTCCAAAGAATCCTGCCTTCCCGTGTGTGCCCGAAGAGGAACAATCAACGACAAATCAAATACGACTTATCATTTTCCAGACATTGATCATGTCTCTATCTCTTCTGTGACCTTCAGGAGGCCGGGTGCTGGAGGTGGGCTTCGGGATGGCCATTGCGGCCACCAAGATCGAAGAATTTGACATCCAGGAGCACTGGATCATCGAGTGTAACGAGGGGGTCTTCCAGAGGCTCCAGGAATGGGCCAAAAAGCAGCCCCACAAGGTAGGTGCAGACGGGCAGGCTGGCCGAGAGACAGGTGAGGTCGTTGCGAGCCGCCGGGCACAGGGGTTCGGCCTCGGTACAGCAGCCAAAGCTCTGCCCGCAATCTGCATTCCTTCCCTGGACTGCTGGCTGGAGGTTCGCTCCGCCTTCCCTCCAGAAGTGCAGGGATTCGCAGAGTGGAATAGCTTCAAGTCCCTCCCCCCCGAGTCGTCCACCCCTCCTATTTTCTCATTAACTGGCACTGACAGTCTCGTATCACTCCCTCTGACATCTTAAGTCACTTAGGGTCATTTTAGAGGGACGGAAAGGTCTTAGCAGGATAAGCCACAAAAACAATCCAGCGATGGGGTGGGGGGAGGAGCAGATCCAGAATCTGGGCCAAGGCAGGGCAGAGGGTCAGCAAACAGAACCTCCCGAAGGTAAAAGTCCAAGAGAAATCCAGCGGGTGGCTCCAAACGTCATGTTGGAGCCGGTCTTTTGCACCTTGTCCCGCAGGAGGGATTTCCAGGCCCACCCCGAATGAAGACGATCTCGCCCGGTGTTCCCCTCGATTGAACGTGCTGGACAAGTTTCGAAAACAACATTTTTGGGGGGGAGGGGAGGTGGGGAAAGGCCAGGCTGGAAGCAGGCCTTGTGCTGGGTTGCAACCAAAAGGGCAGCCGGTTCAGAGGAGGGCAAGAAGGAGGCTCAGAGGACTGGAACCCAAGCCCTAGAAGGAGGAAAGACGGGAAAGAACCAGGCAGGTTGAGTCTCAAGAAAAGAAGATGGAGGGGAGATAGGAGAGCACTCTTCAAAGACTTGAGAGGTCATCCTCCAGAGGAGGGGCAGGATCTGTCCTCCGTCATCCCTGAGCGCAGGACGTGTCAGAATGGGCTCAACCGACAGGAAGCCGGATTTTGGCTGAAGATCATACAAAAAACTTCCTGTTAGAGCAGTAAGACGACGGGACCAGTAAGGGGTAGAGGAGTATGATAACGGGGCCCCTGACCTTGGAAGGTGGGGGAGCGCTCCAACGTTGGAGCAAACTGGAGCCCCATTGGTCTGATCGGCTTGGATTTGGGTCCCTGCCTTGAGCAGGGGGTGGGACTGGATGACCTTAGGGGTTCCCCTTCCATCTCCATGATTCTGGGATGCAGGGTGCAAACAATCCCTGAATACGACCTGGCCCTTAATTTTTCCCCATCTTATGGGAAGCCAAAGTGACTCAGCAGCGGCTGTCCGACTCTGGACCCCTGGCTCCGTAGGGAGAGCCAACCGTCAGCTGCCCCTCTGGTACTGAATAACCTGAGCGGGTTAAACTGCAAACCAAGCCAAGGTTGTGTCCATGATCCGTGACGTTCCGAGTCCATGAACAGGGGTGAACCTTGGGTTGGTGGCGTCCCATGGCATCACGTGGCTTTTTCCCCACCCCCTCTTTGTTTCCCTCCCAAAGGTTGTCCCCCTGAAAGGGCTGTGGGAAGACGTGGTTCCGACTCTGCCCGCCGAACATTTCGATGGTAAGAGAGGATCAGGCCCTCACCTGTTCCTGGACAACCCTCCCCCACCCCCTGGAGCAAAGGACAGACGGAAATGGAGATGGGGTCGCCCCTCTCGAGCTGCTCGGTTCCCTTCCTCTAGGGGAGGAAATGATTTTAATTTCTGCAAGACCACTGCATAATTGAGGGGCGGGGTATGGAATGAGCAAGGGGTCTTCCAGATGGGGCCACATTTCTGTTGCAAAGTTTTGCATTTTGGGTTCAGTCCCTTTCCCGGCAGGGAGCAGGAATTTGCAGAATAGTCACAAGCAAAAATGGAACCTCCCCGTATAGGGTAACTGTACCTTCATTTTTCAGCATTAAAAAAAAAGGATTTTGGGGATGGATTCCCCACTCCACCCCATCAACATGCAGAAAAACAGCTTCAGAGGGGCAATGGAGTCCCGCTTTTTAACATACGGCCCCATCTCAGATATTTTCTGCCCACCCACGTGTAAACGGACATTTCCTGTGCTGTGAAACCCCGTTTTTTGTTTTTGCAAATTCTAATGGTGCCTTTTTTAAATCTCCCCCTTCTAGGAATCCTTTACGACACGTACCCATTGTCAGCAGACACCTGGCACACACACCAGTTTGGCTTCATCAAGGTGAGCCGAAGCAAGAGTTGAAAGCAAAATCATGTATTTCTTTTTTTCCCCAACAGCAAATCAAGTCCAGAATAGCTTTCAAAAACACAAGTTTTTCCAGTGTGCCGTCTGCCTCTTTAGTGCAACAGAAGGCAGAGGATGGCAAATTCAACAAAGGACTGAGCCCGGCAGAGGGCTAAGGGGAAAACAGAACCTCCATTGATAGGGGCAGTATACCTTTTAGTACCAGTTACGCAGAAATCCGGTGGTGATCTCCGTAAGTAACTCATTAGATCTTAGATCAGAGTTTGGAAACAACTATTTATTTATTTTGCTGCTAAATGTGGTCGAACATACTAACAACTCTGTTTATTTATTAATTTCACTTAGGTTTAATGTTATTTAATTCACATGCTAATTACATTTTTATTTCTTTGTTTATTATTATTATCCCCCCCCCCCGCTTTTTACAACTCTTATTTATTTTACTTAGGATGTTCAATGTTAATTTTAAAGTCAAGTCAAGTCTATTTTATTTTATTTTAGTTTAGTTTAAGTTTATCTTTTAAAAGTTTTCTGCAAACCCGGGACCACCAAAAGTCCTGGATCTTCCCTGGCAGGAGACGGCGGAGGTAGAGGCAAGCCATCCAGTGGCCTCAGGCGGCAGAGGCAGGCAGGTGTCCCAGAGGGAGTTGATGGGGAACTAAACAGCCCTTTCTCCCTCTCCTTCGTAGGGCCACGCGTATCGCCTCCTGAAGCCTGGCGGTGTCCTGACGTACTGCAACCTGACCTCCTGGGGTGACCTGCTCAAGACCAAATACTCTGATATCGAAAGGATGTTTCAGGTGAGGGTAAAAAAACAAGCTAGCTTTAACCCCACGGGCCCATTTCCTGGACCTTCCCATTCAGGTTTGGCCTTTCTGAATGTTGTGGTTTCCTTCATGGGGTCTACCCATCTCACCCTGGGGGTCGTCCTCTTCTCCTACTGCCTTCCAGTTCTCCCAGGGTTACTCACTTTGAGATCAACCCAGCTGGCCTTTCTCTAGAAATCTCTCCCTTTAAATCGCCCCGAGCTTGGGTGGAGCACCCAGCAGGGGGCAGTGGCCTGAGCGACGTACAAGGACTCGGGGGATGGTACTGTATTTTGAGGCCAAAAACAGAGGCGAAACCGAGGCTGTCCTACTCTGGCCCTTCATGGGAAGGCAGGATTCTCTAGAACAAGACCATCCTGCTGGGAATGGCGGAAGGCAGCAGGAAAAGAGAAAGGCCCAAGACGAGAGGGACAGACTCCCTCGAAGCCACGACTTTTGAGTTTGCAAGAGCTGAGCAGGGAGGACGGGGCATTTTGAAGGGCGCTAATTCACAGGGTTTGCCACGAGTGCAACATGACCAGAAGGCTGGGACCCTGGCAAAATGAAAGAAGAGACAGTGCTGGAAGAGGAGACTCCCAGGGCAAGGGAAAGGAAGGGAACCCCTTCACGGGCTCACCATTAAGTTGGAGACAACAGCACATAACTACACTGCGGTACTGTATTTTAATTCCTAGGAACATGGGTTTGTGGAATTTCTTCCCCCTTGAAAGACTAAATAATCTCGCCACTCACGGCTCCAACATGCATTTCGACACCATCTTTTTATTTATAAATAATTAGAAGCTGCTTGAATCAAACCATTTGGAAACCTGTTTGCAAAACCGTCTACAAAAAACACTGAAAACGTGCGATAAAACACATCATGAGGCATCCCGTGAAGCATTAGTTCATAAACACAGATGCTTTTCTTTATTGGCATGTGCTCCCAAACCTTGGTTCCCTGGACTACAACTCCCAGAATCCCTGGCCAGCACAGTGAGTGGCGGAGGCTTCTGGAAGCTGTAGTCCACAAACCTCTCAGTTTTTAAGATTATAGACCAGTGGTTCCCAACCCTTGGGTCACCCGCGTGTTCTTGCACTGCAATTCCCAGAATCCCTGGCCAGCACAGCGAGCAGTGGAGGCTTCTGGGACTTGTTGTACCAATGCAACTTGAGCAGGAAAACGTTGGGTAGACCCAATCCGGTTTTTCCCCTTGACTTTCCCCATGTAGGAGACGCAAGTCCCACACTTGGTGGAGGCGGGCTTCAAAAAGGAGAACATCCACACCAGTATCATGGATCTGGTCCCGCCGGCCGACTGCCGATACTACGCCTTCCGACAGATGATCACCCCCACCCTCCTGAAGTAGAAACCGGCACCTTCGTGGGCGAGGAAGACAGGACCCTGCAGAGGCCATCCCTAAACGGCTGAACTGAAAAAACAGGGAGGGGGGTTATACAGTAGAACCCCCTTATCCGCAGGATCAGTATCCACCCATCCACTTATCCCCATCTGAAAAATATTAAAATAAAAACTAAAAACCCCAAACGTATATTTTTAAAGGCGAAGTGATCAGAAGTGGCCCCTAGAGGGAGTCAGAGACCAATCCTATGTATAACATTCAATATTAAAATGCTGTTTGCTCTCATCCGTGGTTTTCAGCATCCACGGGCAGGCTTCAAACTCATTCCCTGCGGATATAGGGGTTGTACTGTATTTTGACCTCCCCGCCCACAGCTTGGGGGCACTGCCTGGGCCGGTGCGCTCCAGCCGCAGCAGAGCCATTCGATGATTAAAATAATGGTTCTCTTACCTTCTTTTAAAATATGGTGTGTGTCGGCCTTTCTCTCCCTACCGGTTTTATCGCTGCCTTTCGGCTACGGGCGGTTCTGAACTTGCACACAAGCCAATGTGATGCTTTGTTTCTCTTGTGCACCACACACCTCTGCACCCAAGTCCAAAAAAATCCCACCCCTTGTTGAAAATGGCTGCTGTGGGTCAGTGGTTCCCCACCTGGGTCCCCCAGACGTTCTTGGACTTCAACTCCCAGAAATCCTGGCCAGCTCAGCGTGTGGCGAAGGCTTCTGGGAGTTGTCGTCCAAGAACCTCTGGGGCCCAGGTTTGGGAACTGCTGCTCTAGGCCATGGTGGATGACATGTCCCATCGCTCCCGTGGTCAAGGATGATGGGGAAAGTAGTCTGAACCACAGCGAGAAGGGAATGCATTTCCCCTATGTTGACAGGAAGGGGCTGACTGGGGTTCCCCATCACCCCCATGATTGAGACGGGGGGGGGGAATAAAATTTAAAAATAAACCCCCCCCAAGGTCAGATACACCCATTTGCAAGTTTATTCTGAAAGCTTCTACGAGCGGTTCCCAAATGTGCGCAACATGGAACGGGCAGAGCGGTGGCTTCCACACCCCACCACCGGGCCCTAGCGCCGGTACCAAATCCGCATCTTTCTCTCCCGCTTGATTTTCTTCTGCAGTTGCAGGATCCCGTAGAGGAGGGCTTCGGCGGTCGGGGGACAACCTGGAGGGGAGATGAAGGGGAAGCAGATGGAGGGGCTGATTTGGGCTTCGGTGAGGGGGGAGTGGAGAGACATGGAAGTTTTCGGCCTGCACGTCACGCCGGCCGAGCACCGAATACGACGCCTGCCCTGAAAGGGTCAGCGGGGGGGGGTCCTTTCACAGTGAGGAAGAAGGAAAGGACCCTGAAAAAAACCAATCCTAAGCCTCCTTAGACAGAGGAAGGGTGTGTGTGTGTTATGCTGCAGGAACCTGTTATCTGCGGGATCTGGATCCGCTGATTTACTTATCCACCATCTGAAACTATTAAAATGAAAATCCCCCCTCTCTCTATGTATATCTATCAAGAAATCGTATTTAAATATTTTAAAACAGATATTTTTTTTCCAAACTTCAATCATCAGAAAAATCTGATTTAAAAAAGTTTAAATCACGTCCAACCTGGTCGGTGAGCTGGGGAGCATTAAAATATAGGTCCCTGGGGCCACAACATTTGCTCTGGCTTGTCCTAGGAGCTCTTGTCTCTAAATACCAAAATAGGACTCAGCTACCATTTGAGCCAGAAAAACACAGCAGCACCTCCATATCCACATAGTGATATTATCCCCGTGCTTTCCGACCTTAAAAATGTGTTGTTGTTTTTTAAATCAGGACTTGACGTTGTCTAAGTTTTTATTTACCTGGGACGTAGATGTCCACTGGGACAATCCGGTCGCAGCCCCGCACAACGGAGTAAGAATAATGGTAGTAGCCCCCGCCGTTGGCACAGCTGGAAAGAGAGAGAGAGAAAAGAATCTCATTTTGCTGCACTTTATTTTAAAAGCACTACGTGGGGACTGAGAAGACCGGTGGCTCTCCCTAAGAAGTTTCATGAGGTCACGTCTCTTTTCTACGAGGTTATCTGCCAGGTCGTTAATGAAAAGCCCGTAGAAAAACCAGACTGTCGACAAAATAACAGGCCATCCCGAAGCTCCGCAGGTGAAGTCTCCAGCTGCACAGTCAGAGAGGTTGGGAGTTCGAATCCTCCTTCGGAGCCTCCCGGGAGAAAAGCCAGCCTGGGTGGCTTGGGGCAAATGCTGGCCAGTCCAGGAAGAAGGGAAGAGAACACCCCTTCGGTGTCTTCTCTACTCGGAAAACCCAGAAAAAGGATCAGAAGGGACCTGACGGGGTGTAATTATTATTTTTCACAACTCTATGTTAAGCAGTTCGCAACTTGTTTTGCAAAACGGCGTTTGGCTGAGGGTTTTTGGGGTGGCAGAGGAGAGACAGAAACCCCAAGAGGGGATAGCACGCATGCACGCACGCATGCACACACACACACACCTGGGAGACCATGAAAATATTCAGAAAAGTTTTACCTCCCCATGGAGATGACGTAACGCGGCTCAGGCATCTGGTCGTACACCTGCAAGGACAGAAAAGAAGTCTGGAAAAGCTGGGCTTTGTCTCTGATGAGATTCAAAAGGCTAAAAAAAAATTAAATCAAAATGCTCCTTTTTTTCAGTGTGCGGCTAGAGCGAGAAACACAGTCGGTCCCCCTTATCTATGGGATCCGCTGAATCGCTTATTAATGGAAATATTTAAAACCTTAAAAAAAGAAAAATCCCAGAAATCTATATTTTTAACGATGAAGCTAATTGAACAGCACCCACTCGAAGAAAGCCAAGATGTATTCAGCATGACTGAACAATGCCTTAGGTCAAGGAAGCCAATGGAGGGGAAGAAATGCAGAGTTGAATCAAAACTGACCGCTTATGATTAAGGTCTGGTCACCGAAGACATTGAAATAAGTTAGGATTAAATACTGATAAAACCAAAGAAGGCGAGGGGCGTAGATTGCACTGTCGAGCCTTGGTTTTTTTCAGAAGGAATATTTTTCCCAGGGGTGGCCCATGGCGGTGACCCTACTTAAACTTTGCAAGAGCATGCACAGGTGGGGGCACCTCTGAGCACATGTGTGCATGTGTGTGTGTGTCTCTCTCTCTCTGGGTGTGCACGCATGTGTGTGTCTCTCTCTCTCTCTCTGGGTGTGCACGCGTGTACCTTCCGGAGAGCCGGGGCCATCTTGTTGGTCAGGGTGCCAGCCACGATCATGACATCGGATTGCCGGGGACTGGCTCGGAAGACCACCCCGAAGCGGTCCATGTCATAGCGGGGGGCCGCCACGTGCATCATCTCGACGGCGCAGCATGCCAAGCCGAAGGTCATCGGCCACAAGGAACTCTGGCAGGGGAGAGGGGACCAAAAAAAAAAAGAAAAAAGCAAGGCAAGTCGTTGAGAGACCACGCAAGAGTTTGAGAGCTTCCTGAAAAAGAGGTGTTCACACATCCAAATCGGTTCCAGGACAAATGTCACAGGCATTTTGGTTTTTTTAAATTGGGAAAAGCAAGAAAGATGTTTCGTTTCCAAAGAGGTTTCGTAACACCTCCCTCAGACTCTGGTTCTTGTCTTTTTAGTTCTTCCCTTTTTAGATGGCAATTTTGACCCTGCTATTTGGGGCGACGGCCGTTGGACCGCACAATTCAAGGGTGGAAACAGTGACGCTCAGGGTAGCAAGGTGCAACGAGAGGAGACCCATCTGGGTTTGATCTGTTTTAAACTTCCAACCCCAAGAGGCCACCAGAGTCTGTACATGCCTGGGTGGGTCAAACAGCTTTACACTGAAAAAATCATAACATTTTGCCCAAGTGTCCACAAATATTGGCACAGAGATTTTCTGCTCCATCTACGGCAAATTTGGTGCTGATGTCTGAGGTCCTGTTTTAAAGTTAGAATATGATGCTTAGGGCACCCCTATTTTTTTTAAGCCGGATGCTATGGCCGTGCAGTACCTTATTTGCACGTTTGTGCAGCAATTATGGAAAAATCGGAGGTGGAAACTAGCCAGGCAGAAGATACAATATATGCCGGAAAGCTCGTGTGGGATAAAATCCTAGAATCCTGGAGTTTGAAGAGGCCTTGAAGGCCATCGACTCCAATCCCCTGCTCAAGGCAGGAAGTAAAATCCAAGCTGATCCGGCAGAGGGTGGTCTGATGTTCTCTTCAAGGCCTCCCGCGTGGGAGCGCTCACCCCCTCCTAAGATCACGGATCCTGTTGTCATACTGCTCTAACAGTTAATACGTTTTTCCTGATCTTCAGCCGAAATCCGGCTTCCTGTCGGTTGAGCCTGTTACGCATCCTGCCCCTCTGGGAGGATTGAGGACAGATCCGGCCCCTCCTCTGGGGGGACCCCCTTTCAAGATTCTTCTTAGGAAAGTTAGAAAACAGGCCAAAACCCTGGAGAGGTGGGAGGAAGAGTCTCCACTCACCCGAAGAGCCCAGTTGAAGAGTTCATCTAGCTTGGTGACAACATATTCCGCTCGGTTTTGCGGCACAAAGGACTTCTTCTGGACGATCGCAGAACTCTTCTCAGGAACTGCAGTGGGGCTACAGAAGAAAAACGGCACGCTCAGGAGAAAAACCCTTGGCTTAGCAGGCGGTTGGAAGCAGCCCGCTCCTGTCATGTCTCCCCCTGGTAAGGGAACGCTTGGGGCCTCCCTCCCTGGTCCCTTAGAAAAGGGTGGGATCGGGAGGCTTCCCGTACAGGTGGAAAAACCCCAGGGCTGAAATATTTCATTGGTTTATGGCATTTTTATACCGCTCTGTGAAAACCCTTAACTCTGAGCCATCGTACAAGGAGAAATCATCCCTCGTTACCCAACCTGACCAACCAGAAACAAAATAAGAATTAAGGAAACCCAGCAAAGGAGAACTCAAACTAATGACGACATGAAACAAAGTCACAGATTCGTGCCGGTTCATCCCTTCCCTTCCGGGGAAAAGGGGTTGAGAGATACCTTTCGGCGCGGTCTGTGGCCGATGTCTGATGAAGTGACTGCGCAGGAGGAGCAAAGAACACTGCTGGCCTGATCAACAAAAGCAGAGGCAGCTGTTATACCGTTTCTCCCTCCTAACCCCACAAATTTTTTTTTTTCTGATAAGATGCCACGGATCACACCCATGGGTTCGTGGGTCGTTTTTTTCCTTTCTCGGCTGATACTCCTGGCTGCTCATTGGTGTGTGGCCCCTTTCGAGGCTCCGTGGGCAGCAGAAAGAGACAGCCAGGTATCAAGCAGAGAGCCCTCTCCCTCCCTGGGCCTCTTTACAAAAAAAAAAGAGTGTACGTTGAATTATTACTATTATTATTTTGAACAGCTTTCTTCATGATTTTTGCAGCCAGTCGCAGCCGGCAGAGCCCACTCACCTGGGCAGAAAGCACCTGTGAGGGATCAAACGGGAGGCTGGAAAGGAAAAAAGAAGGTAAGAAAGCGCCGTCCCCGGGGGGGGGAGGTAAGACTTGTGGCAACCTTGTGAAGGTGCGAGAGGTCCCTTGCCCTGGTTTTGGGTGTGTGTGTGTGTGTTTCTCCTCTTCCGGCACAATCTCTGGTTTCATTTTTGCACCGTCCCAGCCTTCGGGTGGCCTCCGACGCTGGGCGACCCCAGGAAGGAGCCCTCTCTCCAGACAGCCCTCGTCTTCCCCAGCCCCCTTGGCTCTTGCAGACTCTTCAGACGTCGTCGTTGGGGCTTCCTCCGGGGAGTCCGTCTCTCTCGCTTTGGAGGCTTCCTCTTCTCCGGCTGCCCCCCTTTGCCTTCCCTCCCCCCTGGCCCCCACCCTGAGGATCTTTTCCAGGGAATCTTTCCCGGGCCTCCCTTTTGGGGGCCCCAACTCACACACACACAAGGCTGCCTTGAGCCTTGTAAAGGCAATACTTTCCCTGGGGGGTGGAGAGGAGGGGGGACGGGGAGGAAGGGGGACGCCTGCTGCTGGAAA